CACTAAATGTCATTAGCTGGAATACTAAGGGTTTTGGCTCTCATAAAAAAGAATGAAAACATTTAAACATCTATCTGACCTGCATGCTGATACAGCAAACACATCTCTCTGAGCGATCATATTGATCTTAAAACAACCAAAAATAATCAAGTATTTTATTCAAATTATAATTCAAGACAAAGAATTTTGATCAATAAAAATATACAAGCAATATAAAACCACTGTAGATCCTGAAGGTTTTGCACATACACACCTACACTCTGCCGATAGATAGATACCCTACTGGGATAATAAGCTGCCCAAAGGAAGTGATAGAAACAGCTGATATCAAGACAACAAAGCTCCTGACCATGTATGGAGGGTTTCACCCCAAATCCAGCACCCTGAGATTATATGTCAAGCAGAAGAAAGGAGGCCCAAGACTACTGTGTCCCCTATCCAGGATGAAACAACATGAATGTCCATGAATGCATCAGGAACACTAAGCACCAGTGCTTATTGAATACCTCAGGCAGAAGAAACCAAAGAAAGAAGACGAGCAAGTGGAAAAACCACCCTGGAAGAACAGGCGCCCGCAGGATTTGTACTGAAGGCAGAAAAAGTGACTGACATCCAGAAATCCTACCGGTGGCTGGTGAAAGACAGCACAGAAGCACTACTCATGGCAGCACAAGAACAAGCCCTTAAGCACACGATCAATAGAGGCTGGGGTCTATCACACTGGACAAGACCCCAGACACAGGCTGTGCAAAGATGCCCCTGAGACAACCAACACCTAAGAGCAAGGTGCTAGCAGGCAGGCCATACATGGAATGCCATTACCAAGTTGCTGTCATAGTATGCAGGAATATCTGTGTCGAGATGACCTAGAGACTCCGAGGTGACTGACCGAATTAAAATCCTGTGGAACTTCCAAATACAGACAGACAAGCTGGTGATGGCTAACCAAAAGGATATAGTCGTGGTGGTGTGAGATTATTCTGTTATTATATGTTACCTTATATATGTAATCAAAGTAGTTGGATTAGAATACTGCTGTAGATCATATTATACCCTTTAATATAGAGTGTGTGATCAGTATGTAGTTTAGTTCTCATTATACTTTTGAGTTAAAAGAACATATTCACTTATTAGTTTATTAGATAAGTGTGCATCACTCTGTATCCTTGATCTGCTGTGAATGTCTCATACTGTGTTCTTGACATGTTTTATTGCTGAATCATAAACAGAAGGAGACTTTGTGTCTAGAGCAGAGGAGCAATGATCCGAGGTCATAACTTAGGGAGAAAGAATGTGAATGTTTGGGCTTTTACGACTAGGTGGGGGCCACTAGCGGCTATAAGAAGCTGAGTAACACGTCACCATTTTGAGACTTGCGGTGACCCTCTTCAGGCATGTCTCCCCATCATGATGGTCCTTATGCTCTTAAGTGTTGAATTGTATGGAAATAAAGTATTGTTGATTGAGCATAAATACACCGAGTACTGTCCTTCCTTCAGCCCAAAATTGGGAGATTTCAACAGTGGACAAGCAGAGGAAGACAGCTGCAGTGATAGACGTAGCTATACCGAATGATAGCAACAACAGGAAAAGGAACACAGGAAGATGTAGAGGGTGAAGGCAGCAGTAGTCCCTGTAGTAATGGGAGCACTCGGGGCAATGACCCTCCAAACTGGGCGAGTGGCTCCAGAAGATTCCAGCAGCAGATTCCAGAAGATTCAGAAAACTCCAGCGTCCTGATGCACTGGTGCTGAGACAGCCATCTCACCCTCAATGTCACAAAGACAAAGAAGTTGATAGTGGACTTCCGGAGGTGCAGCACACATGCCCATCACCATCAATGGAGATGCTGTGGAGAGAGTCAGCAGCTTTCATTTCCTAGGTGTAAATCTGGGGGAGGATCTCACATGGTGAGTACACACAAACAAAACAGTGAAGAAGGCGGAGCAGCGCCTCTTCTTCCTCAGGAGACTGAAAAGATTCGGCATGAGCCCCCGCATCCTCAGGACCTTCTATCGCTGTGCCATTGAGAGCATCCTCACTGGATGCATCACCACCTGGTATGGCAACAGCACCACTTACGACCGCAAAGCTCTCCAGAGGGTAGTGCGGTGGGACGAAAGGATAATTGGGGGTGAGCTTCCCTCCCTCCAGTTGTGCTGTCCTCGCCCTTTGTTTTCACCGGCTGGACAGTAAGATAATGCTCCAGTAAGCAGACTTATTTTCCTTTTTTGTGCTGATTTATTGAAGAATGGCCTCTGATCATCGCCTTCTCTTTGACTATTGTAAAACTGAAAACATACAAAATATTGCATTAGCAAACTACTATCGCAAACTAGCTTGTTACACACTTACTGCGAGCTGACAAGAAAAAACTTTCATAACTCACACGTACAAATTATTATACAATTTGTAAATAAAACAAAGAGACAATTATTATTTTATCATCACTCATACTTTTGGACAAATCTCGTCCAAAGCAACATTTTAAGGTCCATGTCAGCTTAAAACAGTAATACTTTGGCATTACGTTCAGCCATCTTGGATTTTCCGCTTTCTCTATTTTTCTTTTTCCAAAGTAATCAAAAGAATATTACAAAGCAGCCACCAGAGGGAGCTCTAGGGCAGTTTATAAAACTGTATAAGCCAGTGTAAATTATAAAGTCAGAACAAGCGTAGTCCTTGGAGAACCAAAGATACCTTGAAGGACCCCCAAGACCCCAGGCCTCTGGTAGAGGACCCAGTGGGTGTTCATGTGAGAATGGGCTAATGATAAAACTGCATAAACTGAATTAAACATGAAGAGAATTGTATTCATATGTGACTGAATGTTCATAATTATTGGAACTTCCTAACATAGAAAAGAAAAATAAAAGCCTCATCTCTGCATCCAGGAGGGCAGCGAGTCTCAGACGGCCTTTAATACTCCGTTTAGACACTTTGTCACTTGGATTAACAAATGTGTCTGCTGTGTTTCAGGCTCTGGAAAAGAAGGTCTTAAGACCAATTTCTGCTGTAATTTTCACCTTTATTGTTGAACACACCAGTTTTCAGTTGGGTGTTTCTAAGATAAGATCACCTTTATTAGTCCCGCATGTGGGAAATTGGTTTTGTCGCAGCAGGAAGTGGACAGTGCAAAAGTTGTATAGCAAAAATTAGAATACAATACGAATAATATACTGTACTTCATACTGTATTGTTTTCTTCAGTGCACTCAGTTCTTTCTGGCTTTGCTCAGTGATGTAGTTTTGTACCCACTGTTTTTCCCACACATAATTTGCGTGCAGGCAATGTCAGTAACTGCATCCCAAAGCACTCTTTGGTTACAGACGGTGGATTACACTCTTCACCTTTATCTGTGTCAGTTATCTTGACTTGCTCACCTTTGTGGACAGTCTTTAACCCAGTGAAAAACAGACGGATAAACTGCACATTTAGTACTGCAGCCAAACAGTGAGTTTCTTCCTGATCCCTTTGTGCCAGTGGCTAGCCTTTCTGTCACTTTTGCTATGGGATATTTACCATTTCTTGGTTAATTCACCTACTTGAGACAGCCTCTGATTTTCTTCCAAATATCCTTTTGAGTCGACTTCATAAATGTAAAAGTCAGATCTGAACATGCTGTAAAGACTTTAGCATCCAAACATGCAGCATCTAATGATTTAAAAGCCAAGACTGCATTGGGAAGCTCCATCGTGTACGTCCACGTGTGACTGTATCATTGTTCAAAGTCCATGGTAGAGCTTGTCACAGTTACACTGGGGTCTGTCGTTATCTTCTCAAGGCAAGAAACATCATAGGTCTGGTCTTTTTCTTCAAGAAACAAACTGTCAAGATTCGTGAGTAATGTGTTCGTACCAGGGTCCTTGTTCAAGTCATCAACCAGTGTTTCCCCCACTGTTTCTCTCATCCAATTGGAAACCATGAAAACATCAGTTGCTTGCTTATCTTTGTTGAGCTGTGACTCGTATCCAGAAAGCACCTTCATTCTTTCAGCTTTCATTCGTCAAAGTCTGGAGGAAGTCTGTCATTGCGAGCCATCCTCTCCTACCAATATTGATCTATAATGAAGTCAGACTTTAAGGTGGTTTAATATTTACTTTATTAGTGTACATCACCATCCTGTTGACTTCCCAAAACAACTGGGATGTCCCCACTTAGAAAGTCCAACTGGAATAAGCTTGCAAGTCAATAATGTCATCCATAAATGCAGTTTAAAATTATGTCATGCAAAGAAAAAGCCAAACGATTAAAGCAACTGTTTTTGGGAAACATGGATGGCACGTGGACATCCAGGTTGTTGTCAGCGCTCAGTTCAAAAGAAGAGTTCTTTGAATTCTCTATCACACAACAATGGGACGACATTCCTCTGCTACAAACGCAGCATTCCTCACTTCCCAGATATTTATGAAGGTTGTTGTTTTATTGTGAATAAACTGAGGCTACGTCCACACGTACCCGGGTATTTTTGAAAACGCAGATTTTTCTATGCGTTTGCACCTTTCGTCCACACGTAAACGGCGTTTTCGGTCACTGAAAACGGAGATTTTTAAAAACTCCGGCCAGGGTGGATAGTTTTGAAAACTCCGTTTTTGCATTTACGTGTGGACGAAAAAAACAGAGAAAACGCAGAAAACGCAGCGTCAAAGGTGTGCGCCATTTTTGACATCACACTGTGCGCCACGTAATTGTTTCGGTGAAATGAATTTCTACAATATTGTTACTGTTACTTGTACTCTCTGCAGTGTTTAAATGCTTACATACACACAAACTGTTACTGTCCCTCCACACATACGACTCGGTTCTGCTTCTATGCCCCAGCTTTGTTTACTTTTTCCCACCGAGGCTTCTAGACTTCTGATTGGCCAACATTTCTACAGGTTAGGAATATATCGCCACCTGTTGCTTTGGCATGTTCATAGCAGCGTTTTCCTTCATTTCTGCGTTTATGTGTGGACGGGATTATTTTTTAAAACGAAAACAGAAAATCTCCGTTTTCAAAAATACCCGTGTACGTGTGGACGTAGCCTATAAATATATGTGACTTTCAAATCACTGCATTTTATTTACATTCCACACAGCATCCCAAATGTTTTTTGAAACAGGGGTATAAATGTAACTATCATCCAATGAGATCAAGGAGTTTCCCTTTAACCTTGGCAAAGCTCTTGTATTTTGCCTGCCAGTTCCAGGCAGTGTAGGACCCTGACTCTCTCTCTCTGGAGCTCTTCAGGACTCACTTGGCCTGCCAGCTTAGCAGAGAAATGGATCAGGTCTTGCATAAAAAGGCCCACGGTCCCTCTTGGTGCCGGAGGAATCTGAGTCAGAGGCCCTGAATCAAACTGAAAGTTGATGTTTTTTGCTCGGGGGAGGCCTGGTTGCCGTTCCTCAATCCATGTCAGAGATCTGGATGGACATAAGATGAAATGATTACACGTCATTTACGCCTCTCATCTGTCCTTTCGTCATGACAACCAAATGACTGGGACATATTCTCACTCAGTGGCTACTCCAATGGCTTTCTGACTTTAAAAATACTTTTATTTATTCCAGTTAGGTGAAATGAAGTTATGACGCATGTACTGCACAACTGACAACAGAAAAGAGTGATGTTTCAAACAGACTTTTGGCTATGATTTTTGAAATATTATCCACATGTACATTCCTGTTGTTTGGGGTTTAGTTAGTCTGTTTGGTCCAACCCTGCTCTGATGTTGGCCCTAGCCCCCAGTCTTGTGTGCTGACATGTGGGATAAGATGTCCTATTTTCACTTAGGGTATAGTCCTCCTCTTGTTCTTCATTCAGATGGATCTATCCTCCGTACCTGTTGTCAGATGTTAGCAGCTTTGCAGTCATCTTGCTGTAGCTGTTAGCAGGGTCCTCCTCCAGTGTTGCTGCAGATACTGAGAGCTCACCAAACAACTCAACCAACCAAGTAAGGCGGGCGATGCCGCTGAATGATGGGAAACCAAATCCAGGCTTTAAAGCTCCACCTTGAAGAAATTACAGCACGTACATTACTAAGAGTTTCCTGAAGTTTGAATTAGAGTTGATGAGAACTGTTGTGTGTTTAAAGCATCGTACAGATGACTGAATTATTAGACCTCACATCAAATTTTTGTCAAAAATTCCCCTAATACTGTTTCTAAGATTGCAAAGGATAGCATTTCTAAAGATACGAGTTTTCTTTAGAAAGCATAAATTTCTATATTTCTGTTTGTATAGAATAACAATTGTTTCTGAAAAATACCAAGCTCAACGTTACTACCTCTGAACTTAGTCTTACTGAGTAACAGCACACACCACTCCTATGGTTTAACTCGCCGAAGAAGAATGTGCTGGGATTGCTCAGGAGACGTGTGCTGTCGCAAACAAACGTCTGCAGGCTGCTATACACAAACAGGATACACAATTCACTATTTAAATCACAGGCGGTAACTACACCAACAATTTTCTTTAAACACTACAGGTGCTGCACAGAATATTATACATAGATACACATACAAGCATATTTAGAGTTTTCATATTCATCTGGTTTTCACTGGTCATTGTGCTTCTGCCTCGCGTGCAGGGACCGTAAACGAGGGCCTAGTTCATCCTTTGCAGATCCTCACAATATTCCCTTCCCTGGGAACCCAAAATTCATATCTTGATATTTTTTAGCTGGATGGCGATATAAGATATATATCTCGATATATTTTTTTAAAGCCATAAAGTAAGAACAAAAAGAGTTCTTAGTCAAAGCTGTGTCCCAGATGTCACACAGGCACTTTTATTAACATAGAGCAGATGTACATAAAATTTACTCAAAAATAAATTATGAGCATTTATTAAATAATAATGCTCCATAAATAAAAGAAAACAATGTTGTTTTTGTGCATAACAAAAAGCTCACAATTGTGCAGTCAAAATGTAAACTAAAAGACGCTGAGCACAATAACAAAGACAGATTTCACAGCTGCTCTGTTCCCAAGTTTTACTGTGTGACTGACAGCCTGGAGTTTGAAATCCGCTTCATAACCACGTCTCTTGGTGCCATTTATAGTCCTTATACACAGTAAGGTACTATTACGTTGAAGCACAGTACGTATCACTCCGCGAGGCTCAGCCGTAATCCTCCGACAATCCATCAAGCGGTGCAGCTCCGTAGATTACCAAAGTCGTACTAAAACATTTTTGACAGATTGCTGAGCGCTGTGTACCACATAAAATCGGTTCGCGGCCATCAAGCACAACCAGAATTCATACATAAGGCGCGCTGTCAACTTTTGAGAAAATGAAAGGATTTTAGTCCGTGCAGCACCTCTGGGCTGCATGGCGTTAGCGTGGTTAGCGTGGTTAGCTAGCTAACACATTGACGCCGTCCAGCCCCATGCACGGTATGCGCAGTAACTCGTTAAAGGAGATTTGCCGTGTCCATCTTGTTGCTTCCTGCAGGTGAAGCGATGGGGGAGGAGGGGGAGTTGTGTTCAGTGAAGGAGAGACGAGGCCGAGTAACGTTGCGTAGAGACGAAAGTGGACGAAAGAGAGGCAAACTTGCGGCTCCGCAAGTTTAATTATAACGTAACATAGACTATATCGATATAAAGGATATTGTCAGATCTTATATCTAGTATAAAAATATATCGATATTTTTTAAAAAACTCGATATATCGCCCAGCTCTAACCCAAGGGTTATTTAAAAAGACACTCTTTAGCTTCTGTCTCTTACCAGTAAAATGAAGAGTACCTTCTTGCAAGGTTTTCCCCTCTACCTCTCTCTTCAGCTGTTTGTATTCCTCTGTCAGCAGCTCAATGTGTTCTTCATGCAGAATCACTCCTGACAAACAGACACAGTTGCTGAGAATCAGAGGATTCAAACTTTTACAAACAAAAAAAGAAGGCATGCTACACAAAATGCAAACAGGCGATGCAATCATGTGTGCCCGTATTTTATTCTCAGCAGAATACAGAAAACATCAAATGTTTAAACAGAGGAAATTTACCATTTATGAAAAATGTTGTGAAAATATTAGCTCAACTTGGATTTGAAGACAACGTGTCTCAAAAAGATGCCAGCCACTGCGTAGCACCTCATTTCCTCGTGTGCCAAATGTTGTTGTCTTACTCAGGTATGCAAAGACCCTCCCTGAGTATAACCTGGAAGAAACATGTTGCCCTAAAGCCTCTGAAGTCTGTTCCTGTCTGATGCACCTCCATGATGATCCCTCTCGTCTTTATATTTTGGGGAAGGAATTTCAAATTTTGATTCAGCTTCAGAGGTTTGGCCCACAGCAGATTTCTGATGGCTTCTTCTTTGCAGCTTTAACCTGCTAACTGTGTTAAAAGACAATTATTTCTGGATGCGTTCCTAAATCCATGCTGTCATTTCCATGACAGAATCATGTCTGTTTTTAATGCAGCTCCCCCTGAGGGGCATTCAGCCTTTCTGTGCCCATGCACACAGACATTCCTCCAGATTCTTGGAATCTAATATATCATTAATATCATTTGCTGTAGTTGGAGACATCTAGTCTGTGTGGTCCATAACAGAAGAACATTATTCTAACATTGTTCCACAACTTTTGTAGACTCGGTTTTTTGCAGATTAGTGACTCTCTGCCCATAATATTACTCTGGCTCTCTAACATGCTCTTTCTACAGCCAATCATATTACTGACCTGTTGCCAATGAACCTAATTTGTCGCAAAATGTTCCTTCAGCTGTTTCTTTTAGTATAACAAATATTTTTTAGCCTTTGTTTCCCCATCTTGACACAAGTGAAGCGTTGCTGCAATCAAATCCAAAATGAGCTACTATTTTTCTTAAATAAAACAAAAAGTCATTTCCCACAGTATCATCAAACTGTGTTTCTGCAAAACAACCGATCCAAATGCTATTATGAATTAGTGATCACTTGCAGAACCATCAGGGGTAAATGTTCATGCTGTTCTCACAGCAGTAGTGATGACAACACTGTACTTAATAAAAGGAACTTCCATTACTCTGAGATGTTACAGCTGAATTGCTTCACTTTTTAATTATCTGTTTGACAGCATTTCTCCGAACTCCGCGTTTGACGTGCAAAGGGAAAGTGCATGGTAGCACACAATCATAAATGATCACCTTTTTCTTCAGCTAAGTCCCAAAGCTCCACCGCAGCCTTGTAGCTCATGGTCATAGGATACTCAACACAGACATGCTTCTGTGCCTGCAGAAACATCCTAATGAGACACGAGTTCTTGGTCAAAATGAAGGCAACAAGAATAAGTAGTAGGTCACGTAAACATTCAGAATTTTGTTACAAATGTTTTCTACGATGGGAGAAAAAGACTCCTGTCAGATAATAGAGCACTATTGGGGACAAAATTAGATATGTAATTACATTTTACATGAGCGCTTAGGCATATTTGAACGTTTGTTTAGACCCCCCCGCACAAACACATCCTCCAACCGCACACGCCCATATTTTGCTCCACTGCGGTTTATTTCACACCTCAAACATTTAGTAAACAATTAAGCAAATGCAAGTAAACAGCAATAAATTAATAAAATAAACTACTAACTCTTTTACACTGCGTTAACACCCACACAGGTTTTTTTAAAAACGCAGCTGTTTCTGTGTGTTTGGACCTTTCGTCCACGTAAACGTGTTTCAAATCACAGAAAACTGAGATTTTTTAAAACTTATTTTTTGCCTTTACGTGTGGAGTTTGTAACACAACATCAAAGGTATGTGCCTTTTATCACGTCACGCTGTGGCCACATTATTGTTTACATGAGATGAATTGCAGAATGGCAGATAGAGACAAAATACTGTTAATCTGACTGTCTGCAGGTTTTACACGCAGTTACTGTCCCTCCATTTACAAAGGCAGAGGCGTCACGGTGTCATTATTTTACTGTAGTTGTTTTTTCCTGTGTAATAATATTCAACATTGCTGTCAATACATTTTTCAATTCCTCTGCGAAATAGGTTCAAAAACATAAACAGCTGTAGGATCCTGTCTGTCTGTGATTTGAACCGGGGGAACAAATCGTGGCAGGATCAGCCTGATGTTATTTGTATCCCACTGTAACTTTACTGTATAAAGAGCAAACATCTCCAAAATGTCAGGAGTAGTTAGTCATTACAACAAGTGTTTGTGAACTAAAAATCACGAATGTGGGATCCTGTTTGGCTGTGATTTGGAGAGCCCAGCGCTGCTCCCGATGAAGGGAAAAACAATGTGTTACTAAGTCTAGATGCAGTCTGGCTACTGATTCAGTGAAAAAAAATTGCGCGGTTTCCACTCCAGGAAAAATGACTCAGCATATTTCCTTAAATCTGATGTTTAACCTCTTTCACGTTTGTAATCTAAGTATTCCCAACCCCCTGTACATTTTTTCTACAACATTTTGTAGTTGCACAGACATTTACCTGACATTGTCCTCGTGTGACATGTTCTCAGTACAGATGAACGCCACATGAACGTCGTCTCTACCCAAAGCCTCCTCCAGTGAGATCCGACTCACTCCCTGCTGAGGCTCCAGGCTTCTCCTTTGGTAAACCAAAGCAAAAGAAGCAAAAGGAAGAATACAGTAGTCACAGTTAAGACAACATCCGATGAGACTGAAGATTCACAAACAACAAAAATGAAAATATACACAGATTGTCAACATAACAGCTTTACATTACAACGCTATGAACTTTAATTCACTAACAGTCTTACAAACTGTTCGTAAACACAGTCTGCAACCCTGGGTGCTTGACTTTACACACCTGAATTCATGGAGTTGGACGGGACAGTGAACACTGTAGTGTACTGTGACTTTTTATGGGTACATGGCAAGTCATGGCCTCCAGTTTGGAAGGAGCATGAATTAGTGTGTGAGGTTGAGAGATACCAGCTGGAAACAGCTGACTTCACCTCGTCACAGCTTGGGGGTTCTGAAACCAGACCCTGGAATGGGGCTGGAACCTGTTCCAATCCTGGGAAACAGTTCGGCAACTGAAGAGGTGGAAGAAGTGTTCTACTGTATCTGTGACTGCTCCGATGGAGAATCTCTGGTTTGATGGCCTCAGGGTGGCCTCTGCTTTCTGCAGATGATTTGTTTCTTTTGGCTTGATCAGATGATAACATTCAGCTAGAGTGGTTAACAGCCCAGCTGGAAGCAACTCAAATGAAAACCAGCACCTCCAAGTCTGAGGCGATGGTCCTCTGTAAAAAAAAAAAAAGTGGCAGAGTGCCCGTTGATTGGAGGGGAGTAGCTACTCCAAGGGAAGGAATTTCTCAGGGTCTCACAAGTGAGAAGACTGACATCGATTGGTGCAGAGCTGAGTCTGAAAACAAATCTGCTGGTTTACCAATCGACCTACATTCTATCCACGTGCTTTGGTTAAGGGCTCACTGTAGTTTTACTATTCCTCTGCATGATGACTAGGATGCCTCCTGTTTTGAAGAGGTCTTCATGGAAGAACCCAGGACAGATTAATTAGAGAGATTAGATATCTCAGCTGCCCTTGGGAACTACTCAGTGCACCCCTGGAAGAGCTGGAGGACCTGGGTAGGAATAAGGACAACTTGTCTCTGCTTACACTGCTGCCCTTGCAATGTTGTGACATCCATCAGTTAGCTTTATTTTCATTCACCTCTGGACTCATCATGAGCTAACGATTTATGACAATAATTTTGCTTGACAAAGACCACATACACTATATCTCATATCATTAATGAGCTGCATCAGCATGTGTGTGTTACCTGGATATAAATCCTTTGACAGCGAGTTTCTCTGCAGGACTGCCACGTAGTGGCACCAGCATGTCTCTGATCCTAACACAACCAGCTGTGCCAATGCCAATCACCACTGCTCCAAGCATGCTGCGTGAGAAAAGGTTAGGTTGTGTGCAGGATGTAACAAATATAATGTAAACAATATATGAACAACTATAATGAACAGTTTCATGTTTCATTCTCATCCAAAACACACATTCTCCAAATCTCCTCCTTTTTAAACAGACTTGCTTTGTATCAGTGCTTGTTTCTTAGCCAGCCCCTAATTTTTAAACCTTGGACTCTGTGGAGGTCTGATGGGATCTTCCAGGAATGGTGATGCCATTTTCTGGAAAACTGATTGGTGAATGGGTGATGATGTCATACTTCTTGATCTCTAATCTGGAACTTAACCTGTTTGAGAGTAGGTTAGGCTCTAAGCATAAAGACTGCAGTACACCTGTCAGAGCTCTAGACTAACTTGTTGTCACGGTTGCACTGTTGTATGGCGTTATTTTTGTGCCACTATTCTGAGCGCACGTAAAAAAAATTTGCAGGTGCAAGTGTTGCATTTTGAGGAGAAATTTATTTTTGAGCGACGAAAAGCTGAATTTGAGTGAACAAAATTCATTCCTGCGTGCAAAAACTGTATTTCAGTGTTTGCTATTATCCACACACACAACAGCAGCCCCTCTCACTCAGTTTTTGCACTTGCGCTCGCTCGCAATGTGTCGCTCGCGCTCTCAACATTTCTGCCCGTGCGCGCTCAACTCTTTCTGTACACCGTTATATTTGTGAGACAAAACCAGCCAATCACAGACTTGGATGCAAAAAAAATCTGATTGGCTGTTTTTGTCTCCAATCAGCTCAAAATGACGAAATGAAATATCCCAGAATCCATTTTGTCCAAAACTCAAACGAGGCAGTGGCAGAGGAACGCAGAGTGGCAGAGTTTGAAATATTACTCTTTCTGGGTCACACAATAAACCTTTGAAGATGATTCATGTGAGAATGGTGCTGCGTAAACTTCAAATACCTGCTCGATTCATCAAGACATCACATATATCCATAAGTGTTTATTTCCAAACTTAACAATGTGGTGTATGCTGTACAGTGCAGCGAGGAATGCCCAGACCTCTACATTGGAGAGACCAAACAGCCACTTCACAAGCGCATGGCACAACACAGAAGAGCCACCTCCACAGGACAAGACTCAGCAGTCCATCTGCATCTTAAGGATAAAGGTCACTCTTTCGAGGATGCCAATGTTCACATTTTGGACAGAGAGGACAGATGGTTTGAAAGAGGAGTGAAAGAAGCCATCTATGTCCACTGTGAGCGACCATCTTTGAACAGAGGCGGGGGTTTACGACACCAACTCTCTGCCATCTATAATCCAGTTTTAGAGCTGGGCGATAGAACGATAACGATATGTATCGCGATATAACTTTTACTCGATAGAGAAATTAAGCTATTGCGATAGACCTCGCTGCTCTTGTCCTCTTAAAAAAAAGAAAAGAAAAAAAAAGGTCAGCCAATCCAAATTCAGTAGCGCAGAGCCGAACCAATCACAGCCGCAGCGTCACGTCACGTGACTTGTTACGTACAGCACAAGTGCCAAGCTGCACGTGTGTTTGTTAGGGAAGCAGCCAGCGCGTAATGGAGGAAATGAGTGTGCCGACTAGAAAAATCAACCGAGCGTGACCGAAGAAAAACCAGATGATGGTTCCAACGCCGGAGAGATTGTCGAACGGAAGAGCCATAGAAGCTCCGTAGTGTGAAGGTATTTCGGCTATTTCAAGTCTGACAAAAACAGAGTAGCGTGCACTGTAAATGTGCCGAAAGCAAGTCTGGAAATACAATAAACTGGTGCATGCGTCACACTGTGCGCCACGTTATTGTTTCGGTGAAATGAATTTCTACAATACTGTTAATTCTACTCTCTGCAGTGTTTAAATGCTTACACATACACACAGTTACTGTCCCTCCACACATACGACTCGGTTCTGCTTCTATGCCCCAGCTTTGTTTACTTTTTCCCACCGAGGCTTCTAGACTTCTGATTGGCCAACATTTCTGCACGGTTAGGAATCTAGCGCCACCTGCTGCTTTGGCATGTTCATAGCAGCGTTTTCCTTCATTTCTGCCTTTACGTGTGAACGGGATTATTTTTTAAAACGAAAACGGAAAATCTCCGTTTTCAAAAATACCCGTGTACGTGTGGACGTAGCCTCAGTCTCTGACTGGAAGCGCTAATTCGTCATTCGGCTTTTGTCAGACTAAAGTAACTGTTAAAACTGTTTGAAAAGCTCAGCTATACAACAAGGAGAGATTGAGAATTTCCTTTTAGTTCTCAGTTTATTTGATATTGACAAAAGTTAGTCAGTTTTGTCTGTTCTTCTGTAAAACAAACTAAGATTTATTTTTAGAATTAATATTTTGTTTCTAAGTGGAATTGACAATTTAGTCTGTTTCGTTTGTTCTATTTTGAAACTTAAACGCTTTAGCGGCTGCCTTTAGTGTAGTTTGCAATATTTGCCTTTATTTATCTGAAAAAGTCTCATGTTCCTTAAGTACATCTACCCTGTTGAACTTATTATGGGAAATAAATATTTAAATAAAAACAAGCTGCTGATTATTTCACATTTTACTTGTGAGCAATGGCACATTTAAATCTTACAAATATAGTTATTTGGCTTATATCATGATAGATATCGTTATCGCCTGAAATGAAAAAAACATATCGTGATATGAAAAAATCTCATATCGCCCAGCTCTATCCAGTTTTGAGATCCCTTCCCAGACGCCTTAACGCCCACTCACATCCTGGGCCATCTGACCTCAGGAATTCGCATGATAAGGTGGGGCCAGGTTTCATAATGAACACACCCAAAACTCTGGCTGATTGGGACCCACGCCCAGTTTCCCACCTTGGCTCAGGCGATTAGAGGATCATCAGGGGGTCCTTTTGTCCCTCTGTGGGGGGAAACTCCCACTAGGTTTATATCTGGGACTCTCCACCATTTGACCTTAGAACTGAAGAAGCTTCTCGGATGAGAGGTGAAACGTCTTCAAGCAACTTAAAGAAGTCCAGACGCTTTTCTTTGCAAGCTCCTTTGACTACGATGACCTGGATGACTGAGAACCTTCACAGACATATGTCACTCCCACTAGGTTTAAATCTGGGACTCTCCACCATTTGACCTTAGAACTGAAGAAGCTTCTTGAATGAGAGGTGAAACGTCTTCAAGCAACTAGGGCTGGGCCATATTATACCGTTCACGGTAATACCGGTACAATACTAGGCAACGATAAGAAAATGAAATATCGCGATAGAATATGGGTAAAACGCGCATGCGAAGTGCCGAAAAAGCACGGCGGTAACGAAGAATGAGAATGGGGAAAGCAGATTGTTGAGTGAAACGGATGAACCAGAATTAGTTTGTAAAAATGGTGCAACTTAACTGGTTTGGTGTTTGTCCGTCAGATACACAACAAAGCACATTTTTTTGTAGAACATGCAAGCGGGCCGTCGTTATTGCCGTATTTGTCGGACTAAGGTGCTCGTAAATCTGGGAGTAATCTGGGTCCTAAACTCCGTCCTTTAAGGTCCCGAAGTGAAACGAACATCACTGAGAGTTGAAAACGGTCTAAATTCTTCCATCTTTAATAAAATGATCAGCGTTGCTGCTCTACCAGGTATAACTATGATGTTTAACATCCAGGCATCCATGAAAACAGAATTTATTACATTTAACGGAGTTAGACGTTAGCTCGCTAGATTCGCTACTTACCTAAGCATGATATAGCATGTTCTGACTGAGAGATTTCTGGGGAAAAAAAATCTCGCAGCTGTTCTATTCCCACGTTGTTTCAGTATATTAATGACTAACCTCGTATTGTGGATGAATAATCTCAGTTGTTCTCCTGACTGAAGTTTGGCCCGTGTATAGCATCCTGCTATGCGATTGCATTTGTCCCTGACCACCAGAATCCCTCACGTTAACTTTTCTCAAGTGGAAAAAAGGTTGGTGTTCATCCTCCAGCTTCACTGTGCTAATGTTATGCTAACATAGCTGTGTCGCTAGCAATCACGTAGCACAACATTATATACCAGGGGCCCGTTCTTCGTACCTCGCTAAGTAAGTTAGCTGGATTTGATTGTTGACGATTTCGCGTGATCTTGGATCGTTCGGTTCCCCGAAGCTCATCCGGGACTTGCTGTCATAGCAACAGAGCCGTAAGCGTAAACCTGCTCGGGAGCAGGTTCACTTTATGTAAACAGGATTAGATCGCGGCCACGCAGGTATGTCCGCTTCATTTATACGAAAGCAACAGCGATATTCCACCACTGTTTCACCATAAATAAATATTATCAATGTAACTAAAGATAATGCAGCACTGGATCCTTTTATTGATGTCACACAGATACATACAGGTCATTTCCTAAAAAAGGGAAATGAACTATTAACATTCTATTACATGTATGTGATTATTACAGATGTAATTCATATTTCAGAGTAGTAATTGTAAATTACTTCGTGTAATCAAGATGGGAGACCACGGCTATAAAAGCGAAGGTGGATTTGGGAAGCCTGTCGCAGCCATGTCCTGTCCGTATACGCGAGCAGCCCATTGTGGAAGGTGCAAGATTGATAAGGAGAGTCCTCAGAATCCAGCGTATATTGCGGGATAGACAGGATCCTTTAGCTCAGCGCGACAGTGTGCTCATAGAGAGATATCGATATTCCCGTGAGGGTATTATTCACTTAACCAACTTGTTGACGAGGGGGTGCAGGACCACCACCTGTCTTCTTCTGCTCTGCCCTTTTTTTGGTTGCTGTTATGAACAAACTAACAGATTATTTCAGGGTCTCTTTCCAAGAGACTAAAAGCAATATCAGTGATGAATATTACCATTCTGTAGAATATTCTTGTATTCCACTTTTACTTGTTCCCATGTTCTAGTGGGTAGATTTATTATATTACACTATATTATCCAATAATATATTACATTACATTATATTATATTATGTTATATTATATCCCCTTTCACATTAGAGCCACAACAGGACCCACTAGAACATGGGAACAAGTAAAAGTTTTCT